AGAGTAACCATTCATATAATGAAGTACTTATCACCTCTTCTGGCTTAAACGCTAATTGGTCCTTCTACAGTAGTATGTACCAATTCTAGTTGAATGGTTGCGCAAATTCCTTTGACATTGTATGATTGCTTAGCCATTTTACCTTTAAAATGGGACTTACATGCAGCTTTTAGTTAAAAGATTGCGGAACTTTCAGTCCCTCTTTTAACTAAACCATGTTTCCTATTTGAGGTAATCTGACTCAATCATAAAAGTCAAAAATATATTTCATTTGAAACTTTTATTTCTTTGGTGAATGTTCTTGTTCATCATCTTTTCCATTCAACATAACAAATTTAATAGGGTATACGACATAGGTAATAAAGACTATTTAGACATTGTGCCAGAACAAATAAGACGAAGATGAACTTCGAAATGTAAATAAGGAATCAATTGCATTGTCAAACCATGTTTTAACTAAACAACTATTGAACTCCTCTTGAAATCTGGAACAAATAAATAGTCACACAAAACCAAAGCCTTTTAACTGACTTGTCCTATTGCCAATGCAGACACAAGTTTCCATTTTCAAGGTTAAAATTTCTTTGTCCATCGCTGACAGATATGCCATGTTTGAACTACTACAAAAAGTAGCAAACATAATCAGTGGTTCTTGAATCATTGATTCATCCACTAATCAAGCCTTAACTTACACATGTCTGGTTATTTTTATCACCTCTCGACAATTTTTCTTTCAGTGTCCCTTCAGTCCGCACTTGAAGCACTTGCTTTCGGCTACTTCATAACAACTGATTTGACAACTGATAACCAAGTCATTTTGTTCTTGTTACCATCCTTGGTTTTAACAAGACTTTTAGAAAAACCTGCACTGACTGCATTCTGTCTAGCAAAGCTACTAGACGCACCAAACATGTCATTAAGAGTCTGAAGCTTCTCTACTCCACTCTTAACCATGTACACTTGCTTATGCAAGTGTTTGGAAAGACTGACAAGAGCATAGCAGCAAACTACCACATCTGCCCTTCCCCGATCTGAGTATTGCGTCTTAGTTTCCTTAAACACATCTTTTGCAGGTTATTGTGGCCTTGGTATTATCTGGACAAATTTTAGCTTTTATGTTTTAGAACAATATCAAAATTTTTTTTTTTTTTTTTTTTTGATAACATCAAAATTTTCTTTTCACTTATTCATAGTTGGTACCATCTAGAAGTTTTTGACTCAAAATCATTTCTAAGATATTTTCTGAAAAACATACGAGGCACACAATTACAAACAAATAATGCTATAAACAAATGAAGTGCAAGTAGATTCTCATAACTACTCTTGTTTATTGTTAACAATCCTTTAGTTTTCTTTACAAGGCTTACGTTGGGCAAGTCACTTGTAAAAACTAAAATTGTTATTTGGTCCTTCGGTGTCATTACGAGAGCCTCGTAGGAAGGGTTAATAATTTTACCAAAGTTGAATATAGTTAACCATTGTTTAATTTCAAAATTATTTTTAATATCTAAGCATTGCTGACGTTGGGCAGTTCAATACTTTACTTAAAATTTAAAATTATTAAGGTCCAATCAAATAAAATCCAGTCATGCTTATCCATTGGGGCATCACATGATCATTTTATTAAAAGACCCACAAATGGAGCCCGCAGGTTTTAAAATTAAATATTTAATTTAAAATCTTCATCCATTCAATTTTTTTATTTGAAAATTTTCATAAGATTTGTCGAATTCATTGTTTAATTTCAAAATTGTCTTTAATAACTTAGTATTGCTGACGTTGGGTTGTACAATACTTTATTAAAATTTTGAAATTATTAAGGCCCAATCAAATAACATTCAGTCATACTTATCCACTGGGGCTTCACATGACTATTTTATTATTGACCCATATAATGTGCTTGAAAGTTAAATTAATTTATTAATTTAAATCTCCTCCTATGATTATTTAGGTTCAATCTAATAAAATGCAATCATGTTTATCCGGTGGGGCTTCGCAGGATTATTTTATTAATGGTTCTATAATGCGCTTGAAATTAAATTAATTTATTAATTTAAATCTCCTCCAGTTCAATATAAGCAATTTTTCCAATTTTCAAGAATTGTTTAATTAAGAGTAACCTTTGTTTGATTTCAAAAACTATGTAAGCATGTGCGTCAATGAACGTGCATCGCTTGACTTATCAAAATTTTGAAATCATTAAGATCTTAAAATCCGGTCATGATAGGCAGCGTGTTCTTCATACAATCATGATATATGATTGTGGTATGCACCATGTGTTTAACACATGATCGTTTTAGAAGACCCACAAATTACTGACAAAATAAACTATTTTCTTAAGAAATTTTCTTAATTAATTTTCTAGATTTAAATCATCCAAATAACTGACTTAATTATTAATCTAGATTTCATCAATCATAATAATTATCATTTATGAGAATAATTTGAAATCAAAATAATTATCATAACGATCATTAAATTATTCAAATCGTTATGCACATATTTCAAAAATTAGAATTAATGTCATAATAACCATTAGTTCAGTCTATCAAATGTAATAACTATTACATTTAAATTTAGAAATATAAATTAATTACTATAATGACTATTAATCTAGTCGTACAAACATAACAGTCATCATGCTCATGTAATTAATAAGTTATGCAACAATATGACACCACCTATTATTTACGGCATGTTATCAATTATATAACTTCATTCATTCATAAAATAAAGCAATTATAAACTAGACTTTAATACATGGGTCCCTAGAAAAATAAAAATAAATTTATAAAATTAACAAATAAGAAACTTTTTAGCTCATTTGCTCATTCCTTATGGTCCATATGTTCTGTTTCAAGCCCCTTTATGGTAACCATGGGCTCAGAGGCCCAAAATACCAAACTTTGGCGAGAAATCCTAAGTCAACTTTCAGGAACCCTGGCCGTCTTGTCCACTACACCATCACCCGAACTCATCTCCGCATGAAACTCTAGGGGAAGGACCGCCGTGAAGATTCGAATACAATGCCGCTGGAACCGCCTGAAATTGGTCATCCATGTGCCTCCACACGCCGGATATGTACCAGCGAGTGAGGCCCACGCGTAGCCACTTCTAGCGACGAATGAGGGCACGTCCGGCATCCTTTCAGGATGTTCCAGCCACCATTCTTTTCGTGCTTCTGTCCCCTTTCACGCCATATGGTTGGTTTTTGAGATTGGCCACCAGAAAGTCACGAACACGTCCAAACAGAGACGAACATTCTTTTCTTTGCATCTTCTTGATCTTCTTTCATTACAATTTTTGTAATACAACGAAAAAATATACAAAAATTGAAATAAAAATCAAGGAGGAATCCTAATCATATGGGATTAGCCTCTTTGTTACAACCCAAGAAAATGCGTTCAAATATCTACCATGGATTAAACTCAAAAAACCAAATATAAAAGCATCGATTTTTAAAGAAAAGAATTATGAAGATATACATGCAAAATACATACCAGTAAACATAGAACCCTATGTGCCATATTTCACGAAGCAAAACTAATTACATGAATATTGTAAATCAAACTAGATCTACATCCAAATACGCAATCTAGTTCTGATACCAATTGTAGGAACAATTGGATCTGCGGAAGCGTTTCAGACCATTGTGGTTTGGGATGCAAACAGATCATCATTGTTTTACTGATTTACCTCTTGGTGCGCATATCTCGTACAGAATCTTCTTATGTATGATTCCTCTTCACGAACTACTCACTTTAGCGCCACAGCACGAACAACCTCCATGAAGCTGAACATTGGCAGATCTTCCAGACTATGTCTAAAGGGGAAAAGGGAAGTGCGTGGGAACTCTCTCACTTTCAGGGATATGGCCTTACCTCAGCCTCTACAGCTACCAAGTGAAAACTAGATAGGCTGATGACTATAAATGTAAAATATATATGGATTCCAAGAAATCCTAACTCTAAGCTGAACGAGCTTTAGGTTTCTTGTGCTCTTCTTACACACTAGGCCCTATTGGGAGAGCAGAACCCACTAAAGAGAAAAAAAGAAAAAGATAAAAAAGTAAATATCACCAACTTTTTATGTATGCACGAGCTAAAATTATCTTCTATAATATATGAGACATTTCGTATATTTAATTCCTTCTCCTTTCTTTTTTATTTAATTCTAGATATAATTATATATTCAAATATAATCTAAGGATTTTCCGTGATTTCCATAGAGACTTAATTAGGGATAAAGATATACGACTTTCGACTTTCAGAGTTTGGGATTCTCCAACAAAAAAGAGGACTACCGAGATTAAGTTTTTCCCAAAAAATCTCCATAAGCCCCTTGAGGACCACTATGTAAATTAAAATCATCGGAGAACATTCATTAATAAATTTTTTATAAAGGACACATTTAGTTTTGACCAAATGAAGAGGTGTATGCATGCTTAATTGCTTGCCCGTTAATAATTTTAAAAAAATAATAATAATTATTACTTTCAAACAAAGCTTCCTTAAAAACTTAATTAAAAAATTTATTCCTAAAATAAATTAATTTAAACATAAATTAATCTAATCACGCCCCAAGTGTCAACAAAACCAACTATAAAAATACCCAAACCCTCATATTTACTTGAGTAAAGATAAACCCCAGTATCTAATCTTACTATAATTTGACTAATTTCCTAGAAAACCAAAAGGAGGAAAGCACGAAATATTACTGAATCAAACTTTTTCCCTTCTTATTTTTATTTTTATTTTCTCTCCCCGAAACAAAATGGTGATTGCCTGTATCAACTAAAGCACCCACGTTGTTTGTTTTTGTGGTCTTTTTTAAAAGGGAAAAAAACAAACGCTAGAACTACCTTATTTTTCATTCGAAGAATTCTTCGCGTGCTGGAATACACCATGTACCATACTCTACCACGAACTAATACTGTATACTGTACTAGAACAGTATCATTCTTCGACTAATATATACATAGTACCATGCATGCACTCAATCATCACCATCCAACCCCATTTTACGTTACCGTACCATCCAAATACAAAAAAAAAAACGTCACCCTTCATCCAAAATATACACGTGTACACATTACCCTCCCGCACGTGTGTCCTTTCCGTCTTTTCGTACACTCGTAGCTCGACGAGCCACGATCAGGTGACGCAGGCCTCCACGGCCAATTCATGCACCCTCGCCGGGAAAAAGAAGAAGAAGAAGAAGACAAAAAAAACCCTAACTAGCAATCGGAAAACAATGACGATGAATGGCGAAAGAGATCGTAGGGTGCCCACAAGCTATCCAAGGGGCAAGGCTTCTTGGAATCGATTCTGAGCCATGGCTTCCCTTTCCCGCTCCAGTGAAGGAGGCTCACCGGACCAGGGTGAAGGTCACGGCAAAGACCTTCCAAGTTGTCGCCGCCAAGCCCGTGCTGATTCCACCGGTGCTCCACTCTCTCGACGTCGCCAGCGAAAACAAGGAGAAACGGCGGCTGAGATCCAAGCTCGTAGATCCGGTTCCGCTTCTGGATCCGCATCCAGCTTTCGAGCTTCTCCGTGTACTTCCCGTCGCGCCATTTCCACAGGTCGATCACCATCACGCCGGTGTTGAAGTAGCACGCGCCGCGTCCCCTAAACGAAGCCGCGTAGTTAGGGTTCGACCAGAACCGGTGCGTGAAGTAGTTGGTGAAGTTCGCGTGGCAGTACTCTGGCGCGCCGAGCACGTGCGCGCCGAGATCAATGCTCCAGAGCTTCGCCACGTCATCTACGACGATGAGATCGGAGTCGAAGTAGATGATTCGCCGGACGGTGGCCGGAAGCAGGTCGGCGAGGTACATCCGCGCGTAATTAAGCGGCTGATCGAGCGCGCGGCGGACGGCGTAAGAGATCTTGCCTCTGACGAGGTTGGCGTCGAAGAGGTAGAGGTGGAAGGTCAGGTACGGGAACGTGGCGGCGATGATGCGGTGGAGCTCCGAGCGGCGGTGCTTGGTGGAGATGAAGTGGAAAACCACATTCTCAGGGCAGGACGCGTGCTGGAGGACGGAGAACACGCCGGCGACGGAGCCACGGAGGTAGGTTGCGTCCAGAGTCATGGCGATGTGGATAATGGAAGGGTTGTGAGCTCGCTTGTCGGCGGCGGCGGTGGACCACGACGTACGCGGGCATTCCCTTCCATTGCGGAATGCCGGCGCTTCACGGAACGTTGGGAGCTCACCGGAGCTCTCAGTAGCCGGAAAACACGCCGCGGCGGTGAAGAAGAGGAACACGAGCGTCTGTATGAGCGTCGGTGGCATGGTGATGAGTGCAACAGAAAAAAGAAGAAGAACAGAGAGTATTTTTGTGAAGGTTGAGGGGCATTTAGGGTATTTCGCGTTGATTTAGTTGGGTGTGGGGCCCGTATGGACCAATATGGTAGGAAGCCAGGCTGGAAAGACGCGTCTCCAGGTTTTAGCTTCGCAATAAGTGCTTTTTTTATTTTTACGGTGATAACGTGAGATCTACTGTGATAAAAAAATGAACGGCTCTGATTTGATGATGGTGTTGAGAATGTGATTGAAACTTTAAGAAGGTGCGTGAGGGCAAAGGCAATGGGTGGGTTTGTCTGCGCCGTTGCACGTGATAAATCAGGGTTCACGTCTGAATCTTTCGTTGTTGAAAGAATTGCGAGTTGAGAATATTAATTGTAATAAACTAATTAATTATTATTTACCGCGTAATTAATGTGCGCGAGACATTTTTATTATTTATTATTTATTAAAGCGTGTTTTAGAGTGAAGAAATAGAGGAAGTGTAGGTTTTGGCAGTTATTCTAATTTGACCGCGGTATTATTGTACGCGGGCAAATTATTGGTCTGACGTGGAATTAATTTTAGAGTTTTGTTAGTTTGTTTCGTATTTATTTATGTTAACAGGTGACACGTGACAGTTTAAATTTCCGTCCACGATTGCACCGTTTGTATGGGTAGAAATTTTTGACTGAGTGGACGAAGTTAGGGTTGGTAAATAAATCAGGGGTCTTTTCAGAACCTTTGGCTCGGCTTATAAAGACTTGAGTTTATATGTTTAAAATTAGTTGTTGGAACCAGACTTAGACCTGTATAAAAGCTCGTTTAATAAAAAGACCTCTGACTCCAATTCAAAAACTCAGTCTTAAAGCCTCTCGCTTAATATATTAATTTTTATTTTTATTTTATATTTTTTATACTACTTGTAATAACCCTCTCTCTCCTCAATCCATTTCATCTCATTTTATTGGTTAAACAGACTTTTTGAATGATTTGTTTCTATATTATGATGTTGGATATACATTGAATTTATGAATATTTATGGAATTACTAATGCTGTTGATTGTATATTTTATTTGAATAAATTTTTGTTGTCTTATTTTTTTAAAACAGGCTAAACAAGGTTTTTATTTTTTTTGTAAATAATCCAGGTCACAGGCCGATAATTATATTAATAACATGTAACAGACTTGGTTAGACTTACACATTTAAATACAAACTTAGCCTTTTAAGGCTAAAGCTCGACTCGACTCAGCCTGTTAACACCTCTAGATGAAGCATTAAAGAGAAGAACGAGGAGTTTTGAACAGGAAGATTGTGCGAATTTTATGATAATAAAGTAATAAATAATGTTTTCCTCTTGTAATATGCTTTGTCTTCTCATCTTCTTTTCTTTCTTCTTTTCTTTTGTTAAGGGATTTCACGTGAATTTCTCTTAAAATCCACAGTTCGGAGAGTATCAATATATGCGTGAAAATAGTGTTTTACTAGTAAGTGGTGATCTTAATTTACTGGCTAATATAATTACACACAACGGCAATGTATTACTAAAACCAAAACTTCGCATACTACTTATTTGTTAAAGTGTGTGTTATTTTAAAGGATGTAAAGTTGTGTCATTTTAAGTGAGAGAAAAAGATAGATAAAAGAGGATAGAAAGTGGACAAAAAAAATAAAAGTGTGAGTCCTATCTCTTTGTGAGAATGAAAGGATATAAGTTGTATCATTTAAAAGGACAAACACTTTTTTCTACTTATTTATATACTAACTGGCTATAATTTTTATCTCTAAATTTTATTTAATTTAGACTCACATGACATTGTCTTTAGTGAGAAGTGACGCTAATCACTCTTAAGGAAAATGACATCTCTTTACTTTCTCTTCTTTTTTTTTTGGTACATACTTTCTCTTTTTTCATTTCATGTTTTTTGGTTGGGATTTGACTTTTAGTGTCTGATAATATCGGAAATGATGAAAGATTCTTCTCACACGAGAGAATCTCAATTTGAGTGCTATCGAACATTACACATGAATATAGTTTAAGAGATTGAAATATATGTTATGTGTTGTTTATATATGTAGGAAAATACTCCTCTCATTTTATATGAGATAGTTATTTTATTTTCTCTTATTTTGAAAATTGTATTTTTTTTATTTTTATTTTTTTTGCTTTTTAATGATTAGTTCCACTTAAACTCTCTCTATAACATAAGAGAACTATTCTCATATAACATAAGATTAATATTTCGAGTATATGTATCAAGCAATGTTTTAAAAGTTAGAATAGACTCACTAGTTTAATTAGTCAGAATCATGAATGGCTTATGTTTTTTCGTTCAAATATTATTTGGTTTAATTACAAATTTGACTGAGTAAACTAATATAGATCAACTGATCGAGTTATGATCTAGCTGTTTTACTGATTTGAAATATTATTTAGTAATTTCCAAAAAAAAAAAAATTGTTTAGTTTAATTATAAATTTAACTTATTGAACTAATTGTGTTATGATACAACTGTTTTAGTAGTTCAATTTATGATTCAATTTTTTTTTATTTTTTTTTTGGTGAAGGATTCAATTTTTATAATAGTGGTTTCAAGTCATAAATACATTAAATTAAATTGCAACTACTTCTTTAATTCGCTTAAACTTTTGTTGTGGGTTTAATTAGAATATAACAAAATTTATGAGATCGGGTGGGTTATCAAGAGAATTTGTGGTCACACATTAGTATAATTGAATGCCCAATAAAATTTTAAAAAGTAAAATAAAGTACACCCAATAACGAAACACCTTTATGGAAAGAGCGATGTTGCCTCCAAAATCTATGTGCAGCAAGCCACTCATCAACCCAGTGGAGCACAGGGGAAGAAGAAATAGACATTCTGTGTATTGTGTTGTTGCATAGAAGTTTGATTTCAAAAAATATTATGCATGACTTGAGTGTATAATCGACTATACTATAATCAAGTTGAACTCGAATATTAGCTATTTACACTTGATTTAAATTCAACTAATTACATTTAATTAAATTCTACTGAATTTAGTTTTTTCGAACTCAACCAGCTTTAAACTCCAACTTGATAAAATTATTTTCAAGTTGAGTTTAACAATTATTAGAAAGAAAGAAAAAACCATTTTTTCCGGGTCTACTCTGTGCCCTTTGACAAACAAGAAAATAGACTCTGAACACGCCAGCTTATCGAGGAACAACTTTTGGGCCTACAATTTTTATGAAGTGAGCTTCAAGTTCTTGTGATCTAAGACCCAACCTCATTCAACGATTTTTTTTTTTTAATAAATTTCTTAATCGGTTCATCGATTATTTGACTAATCCACTCGAGCCAGATAAAACTTTAAAAGGAGCAAAACTCTCTCAACTAAAATTTTAATATATTTGTGTACTTAGAACTTGAATTCAATAATATAATTAAATTGAAATAACTCTGTATCAATTGTTCCATTTACCTAGTGGTTCGTTCAACTATTTCAATTCACAATAAACTAGCTCTTCTTATCCCTCCCTTTTCACATGTTTTAGGTAGAGGGGGAATCTAGGTTGCATGTGAGCTCACATTATACTATAATTTTTAAAAATAAAATTAAGAGCATGTACTCATTCTTAGACTTTTATGATCAATAATAGTAGCTTTTATGCTAAGCATTTGTACTCTGACTCTCTTACGGTCTAATTTGAATGTTACACATGAGGAATGCAAAAATCAAGGCTACAATTGCTGCAATTAATACGGTTTTGTCCTTTGCCAATTACCATTCATAAAAGCAATTTTAGTGCTGCCTCCTTTCTTTATTTGCATTTGGAAACTTTTCCATTGACCATTTATAATATTTGTTCTACACTCTTTCTCTATGTAGAATGGAAAACCCATTCAACATGCACTAGTTTTTTTTTTTCTCCTTTAGATAATTTATTTGAAAAACTCTATAGATTTCAACTAGTAAACCACTCATTCATGTCACTGAAAACACACACTAGTACATAATACTATATCTGCAAAACTTCACAAGCTAGTATCTTCATGGCTTCATTTCATTATGTACCATCAATTCGGTCAATACAATATTTTATTCATTTTTTTTTTTTAGATTATTTCATAAATCAAGATACTTTCATACAAGAAGTATATACATCGAATTACGGACTCATAAAGGTTTTCTTGATAACGGACTCATACTGATATGACAACAAAATGTTCTTTAATAAATTGAACCTTTTTTTAGCACTTAATGCCAGAGGAAAGAATCTTCACGTGATCATCAATTTGGAAGGTAGCTATACACATCGAATTATTGACTTATATCTACACGATTAAATTATTTTAGTTGAAGCTCTTCGAATCTCGTAGGCATTCTTCTAAAAAAGCGAAAACGAATAATACATTGAGAGTGCCACATCTGCATAATAACATTATATTTCAGAAATTAGAAAATATATGTATATACTTGTAAAACTCAGCCCGACCAGGTCGGGTCGACCTAGAATTTTAAAAAACGTGCAATCCATCTATCTCTATAGTCATGTAGCATCCCTCCACATCCAAAACTTTGTCCTTGCAAGGAATATGATGTTAGAAAAATGATGTTAAGTGTCGCCACAAGAATAGAAACAATTGTCCACGAATTTTGGGCACCATAGAAATAAAAAAAATTATCTTAAGGACAAAGTGTTCAACGCTGAGTTCGGATTTTTTCTTATTGCATTCATATATTTTCATATGGTACACTTTAACTTTGTGTTATTGTATGTTTCAAATTCTTGTGAGTATTTCATGGAATTGTATGTATTGTTGAAGTGATTTCTCTAACACATATTATTCTCTCTCAATGATTATAACATCATTTTTCTAACACATGATATCCATCAACATTTACTTTTATCCAATCCTCACATGGAAAGGTTCAAGTAATAAACTTTTTAGACTTGGGATGTTGTTCCGGTCCTTATGAAATTAGAAGCACTTCTCCATGCTTCATTATTTTCCCATAACCCATATCATTTCTAATTAATGCTTCCTCACTTTTTATTGTTTGATTGAACACCAAGT